CAATATTATAACATTCTGACATTTTCAACAAACAATTTGCACTTCAAATATGGACTTCACAGTCTGCCCCTAGCCACAACACCTGCGTTCTTCCTTCCCCGATAAATTACATGTTCTCCTGGTTGTCCGGGCTACATAATACAATGAATAAATCAATTCCCAAACATGTTTAGGTCATAACAATTATATTATAATACTAGAATGCTTAGTTGAAATATTTCATAAAAAAATGACTTACATTGAATATGACTGCTCCAGTATTAGGATTTGTGTAAATACCCAATCCACCACCAGAAGACCTAGAAGTTGATGATGTGCCTGTAATAGTAGGGGGTGGACCTTGACCTCTAGTACTTGGACAATTTGTTTTGGAATGACCTTTTTGTTTGCATATAGAACATGTCATAATCCTGCCTTGTCGTGACATCTTTCCAACAGGAGGCTCATTAGCCTCACGAGTTCTTTTCTTCTTTGGCCTACCCGTCATCGTCCTCGGTACAGGGGCTTGGATTTCTTCAGCATTAGTTTTAGGCCAACTAAGTTCTCCATTCAAAGGTTGAATTGTGTAGCTATAGATTTTTTTGTAAACTTCTTTGGAGTAGCAATCATTAATGAATTCTTCTGGATCTCTACCCTTATCAAAAATTGCACACAAAGCATGAGGGCAGGGTATACCAGTTAGATCCCAACTTCTACATGAACAACTTCTTCCTTGTAACTTAACTTTAAATTGCTGTCTCCCTTTCTTGATCTCATAACCATCATCTCCATTGAAGTCAACGTGCCACCCAATGCTCTCCATTATGTTTGCATTAAGTTTTTTCATCACTCTTGGTCCAAAGTTCCCTGGCCATTTCTCCAAAGCTTGTCTTTTGGTTGCAATTCTTGTCATCATGGCAACTCTTATATCCTCTAACAATGGGATGATTGGCTTTGACCTTGCTTTGACAATTGTTCCATTGAATGCTTCACACATATTATTGTCAATTGAATCACACTTTGATTCTGTCCTAATGAATGCCTTACACCAATATTTAGCAGGATAATTGGACAAATTATCTCTAGCTTGGATATCGTTCTTCCCCAATTGCTCAACCATGAATTTGAATTGGTCCTCAGTTGTTGAGTTAGCACACATCCAAAATAGTCTCTTTAACACCTTGCCTCTATGTTTCTTGCTCCAATTTGCATGGATATGTCTAGCGCAATTTCTATGTTCTGCATTAGGAAGCAATTGTTGAATGGCACTAACCAAACCCTACAAAACCAGAAACAAATAATAATAATAAAAAAAAAACATATTACAAAGTGTAAGAAAGCAGCAGTAAAAACTTCATATTAATTAGAAAGCAGTAAATTAAAGGCATCATATTATTAAACAAAACCATTATTAATAGTTTTAGTATTAGAAGTAATAAAAAAGAAGTAGTACTAGTGTTATTAGCAATAAAGAATAATCTGTAAAGAAATAATAGAAGTACAGAAATATAAGAAATCAGATCAGTAAAGAAATTAGATAAAAAAATTCAGTAAATCATATTAATAAAAATATATCAGATAAAGTAAAAATCAAATAAGGAAGCAATAAATCACTAGCCTTTTGTTGGTCTGAAATAATTGTCCATGCATGGCTGTTGGTGATGCCCAAGTCTTTTATCAACAACTCTAAAAACCACTCCCAAGAATTAGTATTCTCTATCTCAACTACTGCCCATGCAATGGGATACATTTGGTTATCCGGATCCCTCCCAACTGCAACTAAAATCTCACCCTTAAGTGTTCCTTTGAGAAAGCAACCATCTAGTCCTATAACCTGCCTACACCCAGCAAGAAAACCCCTTTTCATTGCGTCAAAGCACACATATATTCTTTGAAATGTACATGGTGCATTAGGGACTACTCTATTGGTTGTAATAGGCACACTGCTTCCAGGATTGGAATCTAAACATTCTTGTGCATAATCTCTTATTTTTTTGAATTGTTCAGAAAAGCCTTGATTAATTTTCTTCCGGATAGCTTTGTGCACCCTACTTACCATAATCACATTAACATTAATCTTCAACTCTGACTCTATATCATCCTTCAACTTAGTGTGTTTCATGGTAGGATCTCTTATAATCTTCTCCTCATATTTTTCTTCAAGCCATTTCTGACTTACAACCCTTAAATTATATCTACAATTGCACCTATGTTCTAACTCCATTGTTTTCAGTTGGAAACATTTAAACCTCTCTTCCCAGCTACAATGTAAGAGGAAAGGACAACCAGGCAGACATTTCACTCTAACTCTCATTTTCTCATTTTTGTAGAACTGAATATCTCTCTTCTCATGCACTGCATATTTTATCATTGCACTCTTAAACTGACTTGCATCATCAAACAACATTCCTATCTCAAGCTCTGGATAATCACAAGCTGGGTTATAAGATGGGAATTTGCATCTGTAGGCTTCCCTTTCAACATCATCTTCTGAATCACAAGTTGGTGGATCTTCGGAGTCATAATAGTAGTTATCACTTCCATAATCAATACATACTTTGTTTCCCTCAACTTCATTCTGATTTGATCTTGTAGACTTAGCTTTATATATATTCTTTGCCTTTGCCTTACCCTTTCCCTTATCATTTCCATGTCTGACATCATTTTCTTCCATGTTAAGATCCTCTTTTGATGCATCCAACCCAACATCTAACCAAGAGTTATTTCCAATCTCATTATCTTGTGTAACCCATCCATTATCATCCTCATCATGTTCACTATCTATCTCATATTCAGCTTCATAATTAATTTCAAAATCATCTTCAAGTGGAACCTCAACTACATGATCCATCTCCTGACCTTGATCCACATTCTCAGCTACATGTCCTTCATAAACATTCTCAGGTACACATAATAACAATTCTGGAATCACTTCAGGTTCATCAATTCCATGATGTACGTAGATGTCACATTTCTTCCATTTTGTTGCCAAACTAATGAGGTCCAAAGTACTTTCATCATTCCACAGAACTTTGAGTTGTCTCAGAGGCTCATGGGTTGCTTTGTAGTATAAACTTTGCATATTTCCATACTGCCCATCTTTTATATATTTTGCTAAATGGGGATATGAAATAAGATCGGGGTCAATTTGTATCCTATTAACCTCACCATTGATATACTTGAACTCAGGACTTCTTACAAAATTTCCACCATGGTGGACTACTAACTCAACACTTGCACACATTTCTGCAATAACTATGGTAATATTAAAAACTATTTAGCAGTGCAGTAAAGAAGTTAATTAGAACTTTAAAAAAAAATTAAAAACAAAACACATCTTTAAGCCACCAAACAACCAAACACACTCAGTACCATTTAACAACACTGTTACACTGTACTACCAAACAATAAAGCAAACTAAGTACCATTTAACAAATAGAAACATGACACCTAGCATTCATTTAACTAAATACTCTAAAAAATTCAATAAACTTTAGTATGATGCATACCCATCAAAGTTTCAGCATGGGCCCCATTTGCAGGCCAGTTTTCAAAAAATTCCAACATCAAAACAACAAAGGACCACATTTTCAGGAAAAAAAAAAAAAAACTTGTCAGCATTATTGTATACATATTCAAGGAATACAATTTATAAATTTGGGAGAGAGCTGCAATTACACCCAAACAGTACCATATAAATTAAACCCCAGAATACATACAACCCAAACATATGCCGTAAAAATAAAAATGTTGAAATGAACCAATATAAAATAAACCTAATCTAAAATCATTGACCTAAAATCTATAAATTAAACCCTAGAATACATAATTAAAATCATTGTATACATATTACAGGAATACAATTTATAAATTATACAAAACCCTTACATAAACCCAATCCCCAGAATACATACAACCCAAACCCTAACATAAAACACGAATACCTATATGTACTTTAAGTATCAAGCTAAACCATACCTTTTGGAAGTTATTGCGGTTGAAAACTTAGCAGTGATGTGTGGTGAGTTCCGATTGTGAACGGAGAATGAGTGGTGAGTTCCGAATGGTGGTTTGCGGTGGAGGTGCGATGATTGATGAAGCCGATTGTTTACTGTGATTAGTCTCTTTAATAGGAAATTAAATTGTTTTAGTTTTTATTTATTAAATATTTAAAAAAATTAAAATAATTTAATTAAAAAAAAATGCCACATATGCATCCTAGGTGGAAGGGTAACCTGTTAAAAACTGTGAAAACTGGTAAATTGGATAAATTGAAAAAAATTAGTTAGTTTAGGGACCCAATTGTTGTTTTTTTAGGTTCAGTGGCCTAATTGTATTATTGTGTGCAGTTCAGTGGCCTATTTGACCCTTATTCCAAAATTTATTTATATAGTGGCATTTTAATTACAAAAATGCCACCGCACTACACTTTAGTCGTCCAAAGTTCTAACTTTGGACGCGAATTAGTCAATTTTATTGATGTTTTTTGTACTAGTGCGTGACCTCCCAGCTGTCTTCGCTTATGACACGTGTCAGTCTGCAGGCGCCTTGAGATCTGGAACGGTCACTTCATGCAAGTGGGTGATTTTTCCGCCAAAAATTTTCCTATAAATAGGCCCCTTCTAGGTTCATTTCAACTTTTACTACGCTGTGGAAATCGATCGGAGCGTCCCGAGCCATCAGCACTATAGATTGATCGGACTTTGCACCTGCTCAACTACTCAACAAACTCTACTCATCGTTAAGTCACTCCTTTCTTCCTCCATTAAACTTTTCCTTATTTTTCGCATAACACATGTCCCTGTCAACCCAAAAACTCGGTTGACTATAACCCGATCCCTTTCGCTGAACCGACTGTCTCCTTTATGAAGGGGATATGTCAGATTCAGATAGCCAAAACGTCTCGGGGGCGGGCTACGACAACACGATTGAGGACGGTAGCGAAGAAACGATGGTTGAAGAGTCATAGCCCGAGGTTACTAACGTCATTCGATGACCGAGCACGGTTCCCGAGCCAGAAGACAACTCCTCAAGCTCGGAAAGCTCATTGATGGACATATTTTACACTCATATTTTAGGTACATTTTTATAATATTTTGCATTAGTTATTTAATATTATCTAATAATTAGTTCTTTATATATATAAGATATAATGTATAATATATAATATATAGAATACATATTAATATATATATATATATATATATATATATATATATATATATATATTACGTACGTACTAGTGTATATGTATATGCTTTATTTAATAAATTAAGTAAATTAAATTTTTAGCATGCATGAAAACAAATTGCTTAATCCTTTAATTCTTTGTCTTTTGTTTGTACAGGTGTGGCGTGGAGTCATATTCAAACGCGACAAAGAAGGAAAGGGCGTGCAGTGTCTGAAGACTCCATTCCTACGGCGCAAAAATAGGAAAAATAAATGGCGGAGAATTGTTCTAGCATATTTTAAGAGTAGTATAAATAGTAGAAGTTTTCTGTTGTAAAACGTTCATTCTTCCCCTCTCGATTATTCTTTAAAGTTGTTGTCAATGTCCATTCGCGGCTAATTTCGTTAGCTTGGTTTAGTGAATTGAAGCCCCGGAATTGATTATGATGTAAGATTATTTATTTATTTTTATTATATAATTTTTATGCATTTGGGTATTAAATATTCTTCTAAGTTATTTGATATGATTATTTGCTATATTAGTTAATGTTGTGCTACAAATTATTCTAATATTCAGTAGCAACTGAGGTTAATTATTGACGGCTTAGTGATAATTGGTCTCGGGAAGAATATTTTCCTAAATTAAATGCAACCGCTTATGCTTGTGTTATTTAGTTTGTCGGTTTTCCTAGTTCCTATTGCTGCTATTAAATTAAATCTACAGCGCTTGTCTTAGATTATTTAGTAGTTAGGGCTAATTAAACCGCATGTGCTTTAGTTACCTACAACTAAGGGAAAACGGAAATGAAATAATTTCACGACAAATATTCAATTGCATATCAATTACCTTTTGAATCAATGATCAGCGTTAAATTCTGGTGGTGAATCTTTACTAACCAAGGTTTTCTATTCTGAGTGTTTTCAATATATTGTCTGCATTGCTTTATTTGGTTATTTACTTTGATTATCACTTTCATACCAAACCCCATTTCCTTTACTTTGAGCACATACGTTAAACTAGTTACTCCTCGTGGGATCGACCCTTACTCCTGCTACTACGTTTGTAAGGTTCTAATTTGGGAGCCGACGACAGCTCACCAAATTTTGGCGCCGTTGCCGGGGAGATTTTCTTGTTTATCTTGTGTTTATTTAATTATTTATTTCTTTATTTGTTTATTTGCCTTTCATTTGTCCCCAAAAAAAAAAATTAAAAAAAATCTTTTCTTTCGTTACTTTTACATAAATGCTACAATATATTTTTTCTTTTTTTATGCTTATAACTCGATCTGCTAATAAGAAAATCTTGCCGTACTATCCGGAAATTGAAAGAACTATACGCACGTGGAAGAAACAAGTTTTGAGGAAATTGGAGTTTAGTGATCTGGCTACCGATTCTACCAATTCTGATTTACAAGGGGAACCCATAGGCTCAAAATCGGACTTTAAAAGAGCTTGGAGCTCCAAATCTAGATCAACAACCCTTATGCATCATTTTCCCTGCTCTGGATTCCAATGTGCAATTCGAACTAAAGTCTGGATTAATTCATCTTTTGCCTTCTTTTCATGGACTTGCAGGTGAAGATCCTCACAAGCATTTAAAGGAATTCCATGTGGTGTGTTCAAGTATGAAACCCATAGGGGTTACTGAATAACAAATCAAGTTTAGAGCTTTTCCCTTTTCGTTGAAAGATTCAGCGAAGGATTGGCTATTCTATCTACCTTCCGGGAGCATCACCACATGGAATAATTTGAAAACAGCGTTCCTTGAAAAATATTTCCCAGCTTCAAGGGCGGCCAACATTAGAAAGGAAATATGTGGTATTAGGCAAAACGATAGAGAGTCCCTGTATGAATATTGGGAGCGTTTCTAGACACTATGTGCAAGTTGCCCACACCATCAAATTAGTGATCAATTACTCATTCAGTACTTTTATGAAGGACTTTTTCCAATGGATAGAAGCATGATAGATGCTGCAAGCAGTGGTGCTTTAGTTGACAAGACACCAGACGATGCAAGAACTCTAATTGCAAACATGACTGCAAATTCTCAACAGTTTGGCAATAGACTTGTCCAACCGTCTAAGCAAGTGAATGAGGTAAATATTTCTGCTCTTGGACAACAAATTTCTGGTTTAACTACTCTTGTTCGTCAATTAGCTTTATGCAATATGCAAAATGTAAAAGCATGTGGAATTTGCTCGGTAGTTGGACACCAAACTGATTTGTGTCCGACTCTTCAAGAAGAACCTATTGAACATGTTAATATGGCCGGAGGTTTTCCTGGACAACCTCAAGGTAAATATGATCCATTTTTTAATAAATATAATCCTGGATGGAAGGATCACCCGAACCTTAGCAATGAGAACTCACAAGGGAACCAGTTTGTTCAAAATTGTCCCAATTTTCAGCAGTATAGACAACCATTTCCTTCAAGACAACAGTCAGTCCAAAGCTCTAGCTTAGGTATGAATTTAGAAGAAATTGTTAAATCTCTTGCTACTAACACTTTGTAGTTTCAACAAGAAACACAATTATTCCAACAAGGGACAAGAGTTAGTATTCAAGAAACAAATGCTAGTATTCAAAACTTGGAAAGACAGATGGGTCAACTAGCAACTACGGTAAGTCGGTTGAAAGCACAGAGTTCTGGCAAACTACCCTCTCAAACGGTGGTTAATCCAGGACAAAATGCAAGTGCAATTGTGTTGAGGAGTGGTAAGGAAATTAAAGGCCCTGCGATTGCTACCCCGTCAGTGAACCAAGAAAAAGAGGGAACTAGCAACAATGAAAATTCTCAAGGTAAGTCTCCCAATCTTTCTAATTATGAACCAGTTCCCCCATTCCCTCAAGCTTTGTCAGAATCTATAAAAGGAACAAAAGATGAAGAGTTATATGAAACTTTCAAAAATTGTGAAGTGAATATTCCATTACTTGATGCAATAAAAAAAGTTCCTAGATATGCTAAATTCTTAAAGGAGTTGTGTACAACAAAAAGGACACAAAAGTCAAAAAAGGGTGAGAAAGTGCTAATGGGTAAGAATGTTTCTGCCGTGATTCAAAGCAAGCTTCCTGAAAAATGCAAGGATCCAGGTATGTTTACTATTCCTTGTATGATAGGCGATACTAAACTTGAGAAAGCCATGCTAGAGTTAGGAGCATCTATTAATGTTATGCCATATTCAGTGTATGCTTCTTTAAAACTTGGACCTTTGAATGAAACTAGTGTAGTTATCCAGTTGGCTAATAGGTCTAATGCATACCCCAAGGGAGTAATTGAAGATGTATTGTTGCAAGTTAATAATTTAATCTTCCCTACTGATTTCTATGTGCTAGATATGGAAAATAATGATCATTCTGCACCTATTCTGTTAGGAAGACCATTTTTAAAAACTGCAAAAACAAAAATTGATATTCACAGTGGTACACTTACTATGGAATTTGATGGTAATGTTGTTACATTCAATATTTATGATGCTATGAAACACCCTGGGGGTGATAACTCTGCTTATTCTGTTGATATTATTGATTCATTGGTTGAAGAAGTTTTTGAATTTAATGGTGAAGATAAATTAGAAGTTGTTATTTGTGAACACCTTGAAAAAGGAAATAATGAGTTTTCTCTGAGTGACAATTTACATGAAGTTACTGCATCATTGAATCATTGTCCTAAATTGCACCAACAAAATAATGTTTCTTATATGGCTTTACCTGTCTCTATCAAAAAATTGTTACCATCTGTCGTGCAGGAACCTATCTCTGAATTGAAGCCTCTTCCCAACCACCTTAAATATGCTTTCTTAGGAGAAAATAAAACATTGCCAGTCATAATTTCAACTAAACTCTCTGCAATAGAAGAGGAAAAACTTATCCAAGTGCTAAAAGAACACAAATCTACCATTGGGTGGACAATTGCATATATCAAAGGGATAAGTCCATCCACTTGCATGCACCGAATTCTTCTAGAGGAAGAAGCAAAACCATCTCGTCAACCACAAAGAAGGCTAAACCCGCCCATGATGGAAGTAGTCAAGGAAGAGGTCCTCAAACTCCTTGGAGCTGGGATAATCTATCCTATTTCAGACAGCAAATGGGTTAGCCCAACTCAAGTGGTTCCTAAAAAAACAGGGATTACAGTTGTCAGAAACCAAAATGATGAACTTGTCCCCACTCGTATTCAAAATGGGTGGCAAGTCTATATAGACTATAGGAAGTTGAATGCTGTTACAAGAAAAGATCACTTCCCTTTACCGTTCATTGACCAAATGCTAGAAAGGTTGGTCGGTCGCTCTTACTTTTGTTTTCTTGATGGTTATTCAGGTTATTTCCAGATTGCAATCGCTCCGGAAGACTAGGAAAAGACGACTTTTACATGTCCCTTCGGCACTTTTGCATATCGACGCATGCCGTTTGGCCTCTATAATGCCCCGGGTACCTTTCAGAGGTGTATGGTTAGCATATTTTCTGATTATGTTGGGCATATGATTGAAGTTTTCATGGATGATTTTATAGTTTATGGCGACTCTTTTGACTCATGCTTACATAACCTTTCACTTATTTTGAAAAGATGCATAGAGAGTAATCTTGTGTTAAATTCTGAAAAATGTCATTTTATGGTTGATCAAGGTAATGTTTTGGGGCATGTTATTTCATCTAGTGGGATTGAGGTTGATAAAGCCAAAGTTGATATTATAGAATCTCTACCGTATCCTACTAGTGTGCGGGAAGTCCACTCTTTTCTTGGACATGCAGGTTTTTATCGAAGGTTTATCAAAGACTTCTCGAAAATAACCCTACCTTTGTGCAAACTGTTGCAGAAAGAGACATCCTTTGAGTTTGACAAAGAGTGTAAGGGAGCATTTGACGAATTGAAGG